TAAATGTGCCCCCCTACTTTTGTCACTGGCCCTCCATGTGCCCCCCCGAAAAATGAATCCTAGAGACGCCACTGCACACAACGTGCAAACACACACTCATGCAAACACACGGAGGACACCACACAATCAAGATCAGACTGACATGAGTAATAAAGAACCCCACACTGGAATGACCACTCTTTGGGAACTAACTACCCACTCAATGGGAACGCTCCAAGCAAGGGACTCAGAGGATTACCATACCAATCACAAACACAATAAACTCGGAAACCAAACTTACACATTCGCCTCAAACAACAACAAAATATGCAAGTCAATTATACACCTAAGAGAACAACTCACTACAAGATGCAGAAGACCACAACCCGCAGAAAATGATGATAGAGCTTTATAACATACACCCGAGCAACTAACACAACCATAACACTCGCAGAGAACACCACACAAAAACATCACCGATCACCACCCCACAACACCTCATTGTAAGAGAATACAATTAACCCTAACACGTTACTACGAGTCCGGAAGACCCACGAACCCCAACAGTTCACAATCAAGACACCAACCACACTACCCCGAACAAAGATATACACACCCCACCACCAGAAGACCCATAAGCCCAAAGGACACGAGACATAAACCTACAGATAAACCACCCCAAAACAACGAATGAGGCAAATGATAACCAACAGACTGAGGACATGATCACTGCATACCACACAGTAAGAGTAACAAACCCACACACTCATGATGGACAACGAGATCCAACACCCGAAATACCTAATGATTCTAAGGTCATACATAATGGAAACACGTAACAACAAAGAAATGAAAACCATAACACACCCCGTAATAACAGAATGGATGTTCACAGACAAAAACCAATCACACACACAGGCACTATTAGGGACACTACGTCACCTACCTAGACCGATACACACATCCAGAAGCCTAACTCGCAACACCAATAGAGATTAATGAAACAATACTCAGAAAGGTCATGGTTAACTCAATTGGGCCTGCGAGTCCATCACAACTGATAGATAAGTGCTAAATATGCTTACTGTTTTCACTGTTTATGGAGGCCTGCAAGCCTCACTGATTCAAATGTTCTACTGTTACATACCTATGCTGTTCTGAACATAACCACCAAAAAGTAATAAAAACCACATTTACTTACTTTAAGAAAGTGTAAAATGTTACTTGTGTATATTGGTAAATACACTGTTATATAGTGAAGCAGTATAAATATTAAATATACTGCACTCTCCCTTAAATGATGATTTCAAAGATCTAAAATAAATGCAGAAACAAAACTAGTGCAATATTGTTGTAACCAAATAATTAATACAAAAGTCTGTTGATTGTAGTACCACTCCAAACTATAAGGTCCAAGGAGGATCAGACCCTTGTGCTCATTGGATCCAATGTGGATATGTTGCAGACTCACCACCAGCCAAAGTAGTAAAATTCTGTACTTTATTCAACGTATTTAAAATACAAATAAAAGTAGAAGTACTTAAGTGGACCAAGTATCAGGAAATGATTCATATACAGTCTGAGTGCACTTTCTTGAGCAGCTGATC